GAGTGGGACTCATGGCCCCCTACGGGGCCGCGTACTACTAAGTGGTGCCTGCAGTTCATACTACAAACCAACGGGCACCCACGGGCTCGTCATTCGTGTTGGAAGTCGACGTGTGCTCTTTCAGTTGCCGACCCTGGAGTTTCGGATCACGAGACGGCCATGAAAGCAGTGGAGTACGCGGTGACCTACGACCAGGTCAGTGCGTCAGAACCTGCGTTTGTTGAACTCCTGCTTCGGCGCGCTCAGCTGGCGGAGTACCGCTACAAGCACATGCATTTGCGCACCAATAGCCAGATTGACAACATTCTGCAGGATGAGTTTCTGTACTTGGTGGTTGGGGAGACTTGGGGCCAGTTGATGCTATGCCCTCTGCTCGAGGAGTACGTAGCCTCGGAACTACATCGCGAGTCGACCATTGCAAAAGAATCCAGGAAGCTCGACGAGGAGAGGAGGTTGCAGGCTGGTCAGGCACCACATTCCCAGCGGCCACTGCCGCTATCGTCTCTGCATGATGTGCCAGGTCTTCCGATCAGTGACGGAAAAGGCAAGAGTAAGTCCGACAGGGCTGTCGCCAAGGCCGCTGCCAAGGTCCAGAGAGAGGCCACTGCAGCTGCAGCAGCGGCAGCCCAGAGGACCTGAGAGCCACAGGCGGCTGGGGTCCCGTCCAGCCGCCGAAATCAGGGATGCCAGTATCGCGAGAGCTGCTGCCTCTTGCGTCGCCATATTCTCAAGAAGATCAATTTTGTTCCCAGGTCTCTGGTTGCCGGGCTGTTCGACGTCGTTCTCACATGCGTCGGCATTGGCAGACTTGGGTAAATTCGGCAGTGGAGTGTCTGAACGAGATGTACGGTTGCACAATTCATCCGCCGTCAGGGCTCACGGTCTCAGAGGCCCAGAACTTCGGCGTGCGCCTGCTGACCGACATCTACAGTTCGATACCACCGCCTCCTTGCACAGCCGCGCAAGCCCTGGCGGAGCTTGGCGGCAGTCGCCCTGGGTACTCCGATTCTGACCCTCGGCGCAGCTTCCAGCCTGACCTAGTCTCGTTGCCCGCCATGGGCGGTCTGGCCGACGGCGAGCAGGTGCTGTCCGGTCTGGCCCTACAACGCTGGAGGTCCATTTCGACGAACTTGCGGACTAGAGTAGACTCCGACTCGACCGCGACCACAAGCACAATTCAACCTTATAGTGATCCTGCTCTTGTCAAAGATCAGAAGCGTTATGCTGATTTCATCATGCAGATGGTACGGGCTAATCTTGTATCGCTCCGAGCTGAACGGGCGGCCACTGTTGGCATCTTCTTTGTTGCAAAAAAGGATGGCAGATTACGAATGATTCTGGATACTAGAGCTGTGAACGTGATGTTCGAGGAGCCAGCCCACTCTCGTCTGCCGACTCCCTCATCCTGGGCATCCATGGAGATCGGAGTCACGGATGATTTGGTGCTGTCTCAGATGGACGTTGACAACGCGTTCTACCGATGTAAGGCTCCACCAGGGGTTTCGGATTGGTTCGCTCTTCCCAGAGTTTCGGCCAGTCAACTTCGCCGCGTGGACGGCAGGTTGTGCGACCAGCTGGGCATCACGTCCACAGGCTACGTCACACCGCACCTGGAGGTCATGGCGATGGGCTGGTCCTGGGCGCTCTACTTCTGTCAGGCCATGGTCACGGCCAGCGCTCTTCGAGCGGGAGTGCCACCCTCAGCCTTCTTACTGGACAAGAAGCAGGCACCTGACGTCACTGGCGACGGCTTCGGCACGGCCATCTACGTGGACAATGCTGGGGTCGTGGGCACCGATGACGACGTCGTTAGGGGCATGGCCCGAAAGCTATATGCGCAGTTAGCAGCTGATGGCTTACAATGCAAGGAGCTCGAGCACGGTCTTCCCGAGGCTCAGTTCACTGGAATGACCTTGGACAGGGCCAGTGGGCGCATTTCAGTCGGCCATCGCCGGTGCTGGAAGGTGCGCCTCGCCATCAAGGGCATCCTGGACGAGGGCTTCTGCTCGGGCGAGCTCCTTCACCGCATTGTGGGCCACTTCACTTGGTCGGCCATCCTTCGTCGGTGTCTGCTCAGCATCCCGCACGCCATTTACAGGTTCATCGACATCGCAGGTCCCAAGCGGATTCGCCTTTGGCCAGCCGTATCGAAGGAGCTTCGATGGATGATGGTACTACTTCCGCTTGCCTACGCTGACACTAAGAGGCCATGGGCTACAGTGGTTACGGCTTCAGACTCCGAGGGCGCCAACGCGACCGACAACGGGGGGTTCGGGATTGTGAACCGGAGCTTCCCGCTGGAGACTGTCCGAGGTTGGGGCCGCCAGAGCGAACGTTGGAGGTTCGCAGTCGACGATGCAGTTCAGGCTCGACAGCGTGCCTTGGCCGAGCCCGACGGCCAGGTCAAGACCGTGCCAGATTCAGATTGCCCCCCAGATGAGCTTCCACCTGAGCTGTTCGACATTCGTCGTGGGGACATTGGCGACTTCAGTGATTGGGGCCTCAAGGTGCGGGGGCGCTGGCGGCTCGCAGAGAGCATTACTTCTTCGGAGGGCCGTGCCACCGTCATCGCAGCCAGAAATCGCCTCCGCTCTACCCGTCAATTTTCGCATCGTCACCTTTTCTTGGGAGACAATCTGGGGTTTGTCTTGGCGCAGGGTAAGGGCAGAGCCAGCAATGCCAGTATCAACAGACATTGTCGCCAGCTCGCCGCCTTGTCCATGATCTCGGATTCAGACTTTGTCACAAGGTGGGTCCCCTCAGAGTTCAACCCTGCCGACGCCGCATCGAGGCTCAAGACTGGGCCGCCCGTCTGGGGCGGCGGCGGGCCGCGAGACGCTCGCCCTCCCTGGATCGTCCGAGATGCCGAGGCGCGTGTTGCGCTCCAGTCTGCTGTCGAGACGCTCGCCAGGTCCACAGACAGCCAGCACCTCATCAACGAGTTCGACGATGGGCACTGGACGCTCGGCGGTGGCTCTCAGCCGCTGAGACCATCAGGCTATGATTTCGAGGACTTCAATGACGGCCTCCTCGAACTGGACGGCTCAAGTGACTCCGAACCTGAAGACGCTGCTAGCCAGGAGACTGCCCATGCCCGCCAAGAGGCCTGTGACAGAGGCCAGGAAGGACCGCACGTCGCAGCTTCGCACTCAGAGGGCGAGGCGCAGACGGCGCGAGCACATGGACGAGGCAGTGCATGCGAGGCAGTTCGGCCAGTATTTTTTGGAGGCCAACAAGGTGACTCATCTATCGGCGATGAGGTACGACAGGTACTTCCAGGAGTTCAAGGACTGGGCCAGCACCAACGGAGTGATGTTGAGTTCGAGCTCGGACATCAGCAGGGCCATGCCGGAGTATCTGGAGGAGCTCTATGCGGCGTTATACATCAACGAGCTGGAGTCCGCACCGTGCCTCATCTTTCTCTTTCGGCTCTACTTGCGGCCGAGCAAGTGTCGGGGTCTTCATGTACATCAGCTAGTGCCTCCACTGGCGGGTTCAAGGACTTCTCACGGGGCACCCTTACTTGCACCAGAGGAGGAGGCAGGGCTCACCAAGACGAAGGCGTTCGACGAGAGCATCTTGCTGGACAGCGTGGAGTTGACATACCTATACCCACGGTTTGCTACTTGGAAGAAACGCAACCCGCTGGACAAAGGGTGGTCCTTCGACTATCGCAAGTTCTCCAGCCTTATCAAGAGGGTGAGGGAGGTCGCAGACCTGGGGCAGGCGAAGCTCCACCCGTACATGAGGAGGCACATAGGCGCCAGCGACGATGCTCTCAGACAGACTCGATCGTTGGAGGCCATCAAGCGCCGCGGCCGTCAGGCCACGGACACTTCGGTGAAACGGTACGTGAAGCACGCCAGGGTATTGAAGTCTCTCGAGGGCTCACCCGTCAGAGCGCGCGACTACGGCAGTCTGATCGACAAGCAGCTAAGCCAGTACATGGGCCTTCCAGTCAGAGTCCCTGTTCCTCCCGGGACCACGGCCACGGTGCTGGTGGCAGCAAAGTAAGGAAACCTTTTTATGAAGGTCGTGGGGATCACAACGCGGGCTTAGACGTTTCTCTGCCTGCCCACATGGTTCGAGCAAAGTTGCGACAGGTATTGCGTCAGTTTCTTCAATCCAGTTATGATCGCAAAGTGTATCTAGATTTGTTCTCAGGCACTGGGACCATTGCCGACTGCATGAAATTTCAGGGTGAGAGCTGTATCAGTTTCGATGTGCTCAACGGCCCAGAGTATGACCTGTCGAACGCAGTGGTGGTCAACGTGCTCATAGGTTGGATTCAGTCAGGCATAGTCAAAGGCGTGTTTGCAGCCTTTCCGTGCAGCAGCTGGACTCCGGCTCTCTTCCGCCAGATCAGACGATCATGGTGTCCCTACGGGATTCCCGACCCGACCCCTGCTGAAGCAGTTCGTCTCAACCTGGGCAATAGCACGCTCATGGCCACCAGACGGCTCGTCAGGGCTTGCATCAAACAAAAGGTACCTATGCTCCGTGAGAACCCTCACGCGTCCAAGGCCTGGCGTGAACCCAATATGGCGGCCCTCATGGGCCACCCCTCTTGTAGACAGCTGGTTCTAGACCAGTGCGCCTTTGGGGCGCGTTGGCGCAAACGCACCCGCTTTGTAGGCTGGCACGTCCCAATGCTTAGACAAGAGAACGTTTTGTGTTCCGGCCATGGTTCTTGTAGTTTCTGTTTTAAACCTCACATAATCTTGCGAGGAAAGCTCCCTGGAAGTAGTGTCAATCTGACCGCTCTCGCGGCATCTTACCCCAAGCGATTGTCCAGAGCGATTGTCCTCTGGGTAATTAGGTCGGCAGAGGCTCTTCGTGGGGCTCGATTGTCTCGCTGTTTAGGTTGAGGTTGCACCTCAGGCGGCTCCAGAGCACAGTATGGGTCTGGGAGTTGCTGTGTCGTTTGTGGCCTGTACAGGCCCGTGCTTGCCGAGGCAGAGGAGCCTCGGCCTGAGCTCGCTCGAGGGATAAATCTATTCGCCATGCAATTTGATCAGACAGAGATTGAAAAACAGATGTGCATCCACAAGGCTGCGCCTGTTTCCGTCTGGCCCGAGGAGGAGAGATGCTACAGTTCTCGGAACGTCTTTCTCTCTCGGTGCCTGGCCGCAACTGTTTACGCTCAAGTCTTTCCACCCGCCGTCCCCGCCTTCTGCCTATATAGTTGGGAGTTGCTGTGTCGTTTGTGGCCTGTACAGGCCCGTGCTTGCCGAGGCAGAGGAGCCTCGGCCTGAGCTCGCTCGAGGGATAAATCTATTCGCCATGCAATTTGATCAGACAGAGATTGAAAAACAGATGTGCATCCACAAGGCTGCGCCTGTTTCCGTCTGGCCCGAGGAGGAGAGATAATTCTCTTTGGCTGGCAAGCTTGACGAGGAGGGCCCACGGACAGGGACATGGGGGGAGAGGTGACGGCGACAACGACGACAGCGACAACGACGACGACGGCGACGGCGACGGCGACGGCGACGACGACGACGATGAGGACGACTCAGACGGAAACGCCTCTCACACACGCCGACAGGGTCGGCGGATTTTCCGTACCCACTCTGCGCGCAGGCCAGTGGACGTGCCAGGGGACGTGGCTGTGGACGCGCAAGGGGACGTGACAACAATGGAAGCGCCAGTGCATAAGCCAGGGAATGTACTAAGGGACGTGCCCTGTCATGCACCACGTAACGTGCCAGCAGACGTGCCAGGGACACGCAAGCCAGGGGGCGCGCTGCGGAATGCGCCCAGGGAAGTGCCATGGAAGGTACCAGGGTGATGGGCCTGTTTTCCACCACCACCATGAGTTGGAGGGGGAAGGAGGTGGACGAGGAGGAGCAGGAGGAAGAGGAGGAGGAGGAGGAGGAGGCGGAGGAGGACCCCCTCTCCCTCCAACTCATGGTGGTGGTGGAAAATAGGACCATCACAGGGGACGTGCCAGGGGGACGCCCCACCCCTGCCGTGCAGGTCTTCTCCACTTGGTCCGCGCTCACAGAGGCCACGAGCCCTTGGAAATGTCAATTGGGCTCCTGAATTACGCCGCGTCCGCGCTCCCGCGTCACAGGCCACGACCCCTCTGGAACTATGCACACAAAATGTTTAAACAAACTTATGTTTACATGAGTTTCAATACATAACTCTGAACTTTTAAAGTTTTGATGAAATAGTTTCGAATTCCGAAACTGCGCGTCCGCTTCCCTGTGGCCCCGATCCCAGGTAGATTGCGGTGCGTCCGCGCTCCCAGGGCCAGGAACCCTGCCAGTTTCGCCGCGCCCGCGCTCCTGCTGCCGTGGCCCCTCGTGGATCACACTGCGTTCCCCCCCCCCGGGCCAGAGTCCATAGTCCACGACACCGCGGCCGCGCTCCCGGGGCCACGCTCCCTCTGTAAACTGCAGCGTGTGCGCGCCCCTGCCTGCGCCGAGGATCTCTGGTACACTGCGCGGCGTCCGCGCTCCCAGGGCCACGATCCCTCAGAAGATGCGCTGCGCCAGCGCCCAGGGGGCCACGGTCCCTTGCAGATGACGCGAGGCCCCCGCTCCCAGGGCGTCGAAGGGCGCCCAGAAGCTTTCTGAGCCGCTTGGGGCCTCCGCACGCCAGCTTTTGCGGAGAATTCGGAGCGCAACGCAGAGTTCAACGCGCCCGTCAGACAGATTCAGCATGTAACGCTCTGGACTTCTTGTATACCAGGGGAAAGGGGTCTGCGGACCCCGCTGTTCATAGAGGATCCGGTGTGGGGGCGCATTTCCCTCGAGCGGGTACGCGCGAAGCGCCTAATTGCATTGGGGAGCAGTCTTCGCAACAGTCGGATGGGCAAGCTTGCCAGGGGTACCCTTGCAACCTTACCTCGTCGGTCTGTCTCTAACCCCTTCCGATGGCCAGCCCCCCTTGAAGAGCTTCGGCAGTGGCTTCCAGGGGGCTTACAGCACCACGGCTGGAGGGAACCGTGGGCCTCCGCCTGCAGTCGGCCCGGATTGGTAGGTCGACCCTGCCAGCTCAAGGGTACCCTTGTGTCAGGTGCCTCGCGACACGTGCCTTCTCACACTCCTATGGCGATGTGGCCCTCGGAAGGGGCTTGTGCCCTCTCGCGTGTCCTGTCCAATCAAGGCCGACTGTATGTGGGAACAGCTGTACACAACACGGCCATGCCGGTCGGTCCCCAGGAGGAGGTGGACTTCGTGGCCGCCGCCGCAGACATCGTGTTCGGCTGCTACGCCACCCAGGAGCAGATCATGTTCGCCCTGAGGACACGGCTTGAGAGAGGGATGAGGACAAGGGAGAGGAGGAGGAGGAGGAGGAGGAGGAGGAGGAGGAGGAGCAGGATCAGGAGGAGGAAGAGGAGGACAGAAGGAGAAGGGATCGGGGAGGAGGGGGGATATCGCAGGGACGAGGAAAGAGGAGGGAGGAGGATGTGGAGGAGGGAATCGAGCGAGATGAGAGAGTCGGAGAGAGTAGGGAGATGGAGCAGGAATTGCCGAGGGCGCCGCGTCACCGTGCTCCGTTTTACTGTACTGCCTCTGCAGTTCTAGCTGCCACGCGTTGTCCAAGGGAGCAGTCGCCTTCGGCTTCGTCCGACGACGACGCGCGAGCCATCTGAACACCTGGAGGAGTCGAGGGTAGGGTAGCTGACGCTGCCGCATTTGGCGACAAGCTGTTCGGCGTCTGTTTGCAGGGTTGTTCGGCGATTCTGTGCGTTTCCGCCTGCGGCGCGCAGATCGAAGGCACATGGGCAGCGTGTGCGAGTGACGGGATGCTGCCTAGGCTTCCACGTCTTTGACGAATGACAGGCTACATCAGAAGCACACTTTTTTTAAGGTCCGCGCGGATTTCTTGAGTCAGCGTTGCCCCCCCCCCCCTCTGGCACATCTGGCGCCGCTTCTGGCGCGCTCCGCCCGCCAGGGCAGGGGAGTCCAGCGTCGATCCAAGACATCCGCGAGGACCTCCGACCGCAGCGCCTCGCGTCGCCTTCCTTCTTTGCTCATCTTCCCTCTCCTCCTCCTTCTCCTTCGTCTCCTTTCCCCTCTTCCCACATTCCATCGCTGCTGCGCCTGCTGATGGCTGCTCCCGTTTCGGCACACCCGCACGCGTGTCGTGCAACACAGGGAGCTCCTCCTAGGGCTTCAGCGAGGGTGTTCACCCTTTCGCCCAGGGCGCACGAAGCGCCTCTTCAGTCCGCCTAAGTGGTGAGGTTGATATGCCGTGGGCCTCCCAGGACAATTCGTCAGCCTTTGACCTCCCTGTCCTCATGCTCCGCCTTATCCCACTCGTCTTCTTTATTGTACCCTTCCTCTCTGGGGACCAGACGACCCGAGTCCAGGACATGGTTCGCGTTCAACCGGCTCCCTTGGTCAGCAGGCGGGGCCCGACGCAGCCCGCTCTTCGCGCGTCCACCTCTGCTCCAATGCAGCCGCCACAGGGACTCGTTCGGGGATCACTCTCCTGTTGCTGCAGTCTTGCATTCAAGACAAGGGCCGAGTCATGCCTGGCGAGGTCGACACCAACGGCTCTCTCTCATCATCCCATCCGTTCCAGCTGTTGATGTGTTCCGCATGTTTTGCGCACGTATCCCGGACTCAGTCTCGGACAGATTCTGGAGGTCACTGCCTCGCCCTCCTCGTTCGATGCATGCCCAGACCTGTGCCTGCCGCAGCGGTCTTCTGCCTTCTCCTCCGCCCTGCCTCGTTCGTGCCTCGGTCGCCGGGTGGAAGCCCGCTCGTGGCGCTCTGGCCTGCCCGGCGGCCTCTCGCTGGACGCCGTGGTGCCAGTGACGGTTCGGTGAGACACGTGGGTCGCGCTGCCGCTGGTGCACCAGGAGGGGAAAAAACACAGACACAGTCAATCGTCGACTCCCCAGAAACTATGGGAAAATATGGGAAGTGGGGGGGAAGACGATGACACAGAAAATATGGGAAAATTCTGGGAATCCTGTTATTTGTGTGTATTTATTTCTGTGTCCTAAGGCCCCTTCAGTGCAGCTCCCCCCTGGTATCCGATGTCATGATGTTTTGAATAAGGGGTCCCCGGAAGTTCAGACCCTTTCCCCAGGCAGCGCTTTTCAGCTCGAGCCTTTCTTGATTGTCCCATGTCCCGGTCAGAGCCCGCAGCGATCGAAAACGGTGAGCAGCATTCAGCCCTGA